TTATATTTAAACATCACAAACACCTTTTGTCATTAAACCATTATTTCTAATAAATTTTTTTATCTAAAATACCAAAAATTACCCCTACATAAAACTCAAATAATTTTTTTATATAAAATTTGATTAAAATTCTAGTCGATTAAAATTTATCTTTTTACATATTAAAATTCGAGCTGATTAAATATTTTTTTTACATATTAAAATTTGACCTGATTAAAATTCGATTTGAATTGTTTATTTTTTTACGTATTAAAATTGGAGCCGATTTGAGCTCAACCTGACCTATTAGCGTCGATTAAAATTCAATCCAAGTAGATTAAAATTTATATTTTTTTACTTACTAAAATCTGTGCTAATTAAAATTCGATTCAAGTCGATTAAAATTTATTTTTTTACTTATTAAAATTTGATTAAAATTCAATGCGAGTTGATTAAAATTTGATTCGAGTTGATTGAAAACGAATTTTATTCTGCTCAAATAGAATTTTAGTCGGCTCGAATTTTAATATGTAAAAAAATTTATAAAATAGAGGAATCTCATTGAAGATATGTCTATTTAGAGGGAGTATAAATGAAATTTTTTTAAAAATATATCATGAACAATTTAATAAAATTATATTCTAGTTAAGGTCTTTAATCTGACAGTGAGTATTAGTGAAGATTTAGAAACTAAAAGAGGAATTCATAAAAATATGATAAATTAGAGGAGATGTGACTAAAATTTTCCCTTTATAGTTAAATTCATACTCATATGGCGAAGGAGTAAGGAAACAAGAAGACAAATGGAGGCCCATGGAGAGGAGTTTGAATNGAGCCTCCGGTTCATGTAATCTTAGTGACCATCTGATTTTCCACTGACCACTGAGCTAAGGTAGGTGGAGTATGAGGTTATCGTGATTGCGGGGTTTTGGAGGTTTAAATGTATACAATATTAGCCTATAGGTGGAGAAGTTGTTTCCACGAGTCAAATTCTTAACGCCTATCTCACAATGGAACACCAAACATCTACTACCCATTTTTCCTACAATTTATAGTTAAAAAAGTTTTAACTACACTCCTTCTAGTTTATCATATCTTTAAAGACACCTCTTCTATTATCTAAAACACCACTGACATCTTTTTAGTTTATATTTAAACATCACAAACACCTTTTGTCATTAAACCATTATTTCTAATAAATTTTTTTATCTAAAATACCAAAAATTACCCCTACATAAAACTCAAATAATTTTTTTATATAAAATTTGATTAAAATTCTAGTCGATTAAAATTTATCTTTTTACATATTAAAATTCGAGCTGATTAAATATTTTTTTTACATATTAAAATTTGACCTGATTAAAATTCGATTTGAATTGTTTATTTTTTTACGTATTAAAATTGGAGCCGATTTGAGCTCAACCTGACCTATTAGCGTCGATTAAAATTCAATCCAAGTAGATTAAAATTTATATTTTTTTACTTACTAAAATCTGTGCTAATTAAAATTCGATTCAAGTCGATTAAAATTTATTTTTTTACTTATTAAAATTTGATTAAAATTCAATGCGAGTTGATTAAAATTTGATTCGAGTTGATTGAAAACGAATTTTATTCTGCTCAAATAGAATTTTAGTCGGCTCGAATTTTAATATGTAAAAAAATTTATAAAATAGAGGAATCTCATTGAAGATATGTCTATTTAGAGGGAGTATAAATGAAATTTTTTTAAAAATATATCATTAATAATTTAATAAAATTATATTCTAATTAAGGTCTTTAATCTGACAGTGAGTATTAGTGAAGATTTAGAAACTAAAAGAGGAATTCATCAAAATATGATAAATTAGAGGAGATGTGACTAAAATTTTCCTTTTATAGTTTTATAGTTAAATTCATACTCATAGGGCGAAGGAGTAAGGAAACAAGAAGACAAATGGAGGCCCATGGAGAGGAGTTTGAATCTGTTTTTGGGGGCAAGTGATTAGAGTTGAATTTGGCTGTTAGGCAAAGGGCACATGGGAAGAGACAATAACTCAATTAATGGGGTTTGATATTATATTATTATTATGGGACCACATCGGGGGGTCCATTGCATCTTATAGTCACGTGCCACATGCACATGCTAAGGCTAGATACATTAAATGTTAATGAATTTGTATATCAATTAGACATTTAGATTAGATTCAAACAATAGTTTCAAAAGCAAATTTAGATTCCAATCAAAATGGAATAAAATTTGAATTTGACCAATTGACAAGTTTATTTTTTGCAATGTCATACATAATTGATGGTACTTAATAAATCGTGTCAAAATTAAATTAACTCATACACAATTTATTTATTAAGTAACTATTATTTTGGTTAGTGAGAAAAAAATGGTAGAAAATAAAAATAATAGAAAGTGGAATAAAATAAAAGAACTTACCAAAAAAAAAAAGAAGTGAAAGAAAAAAAAATGAATGAAAATATATTTTCACATATGTATTTGATTAGCATGAAAAGTTTTCAAGAAAATTTTAATTATTAATTTTTTTTAATTGTTTAAATTATCTTTAATTATGTTAACTCAGTCTAAAGAATAAAAAAATATGTATTATAATTAATAATTATTTTTTTTAAAAAAAATTGGCCCCTAACCTGGGTTTAAGACAAGGATTGACCCCAACTCAAATCTTTAAACTAGATAATATGATTAGCTTAATTCATATCAAAATTTTCAAAATTAATAACTAATTTAATATTTTAAGAAAAACAAGGATAAAATAAAAAGTTAGGTTTATTGATTACAATTTTCTTGTTTTTCTTTGTATTTTTTTTTTAAAAATTTAGTTAGTTGTGAAAAGATCTAAGTATGATGAAAAATTATTTTTTATTTTATACTAACTAAATATATAAAAAATTTAAAAAAAATTATTTCTTATGTTTTTTACTGTTATCTTTCTATCTAAATAAACGAACTCTAAGTTGTGATCAGAATTGTGAACACTAATTAGTATGTTTGACTAAGAAATTACTTTCCAAGTATGCAACGTGTGTTTTAGAAGAGAGCGAACTTAATTTATTGATTAAATTGATAAATTAAATTTGAATAACATCATTCTTTTAGAAAATCTCTCATCCCACACCGGCATACACGAAGTGAGATCCCTTAATATAAATTTTCTCTTTAATTTTTTTCTTCACCGGTAACTTATCATGAATTTAAATGAAAATAATTAGATTTTTATAGATTTTATTGTAGATCTTAGTATTTTGATTGATGGATCAAGTCAGTAAATTAAGTCAACATTTTAAATCTAAGACAAACTTCAATCAGTTTATCTGACGGTTTCAAATAAAAATAATGTTACATAACTCAAATATGCAATCCAAATGAAAGAGGAGTATTAGATCAGTGGGTCTCATTTAAAAAAGTCGATGGAACTCATTGATCCAATGATTTCCATTCATTTGAAATACAAATTTGGGTTACATAGTATTTCCTTTTAAATAAATTCATCAAATAGTAATCAATATCTCTCTAATAAACTCATCCAACAACCATCAATATCCCTCTCAAAACTATTTACATTGAATTTTTCTTTATTCTCCTCACTCTTCACTTTTTTTTTTGGGATCTTCACTCCTTACTTCTCTAAATAAATCGATTAGTTTAAATTACACCGTACTTTTAGACACATGATACCTTAATTATATATAAATAAGTGTTTAGCTCATTAATGATAAAAAATTATCTTAAAAAAAATTAAAAAAAAAATATTGGATGAGAATTACATCCCGACGTATTGGCATACCTACCAAGAAAAATATATAAATATTAAGGATATTCAGTGCCTAAACATTTCAAAAAAATAGAAAATTGATCTTGACCTATCAAATCTTAAACAAATGACGACGTGGGTAACACCAATGTAATGTTAATGGCGGCCTGCACCTCCTAAAGTCCTCTCTCTCTCTCTCTCGACGAAGCAAAACACTTTCTCACTTGTCATTCACGCGTTAAGTCCAGCCCGTAAACAGCGGGATTGCTCCATTGACAACCACGAACCTCCAATAATAAACATATGAGAAAATTATGCTTACCTCCCCTGAATTATATTTTTTATTTCACATTTCTCTTTAAATGATTTAATCTCTTATATTATGGTTTTTTATTTTTATTTTAATTAAAAAAGGGTATAACAGTACTAATCTCGTCCAAACACACATAACTGTAAAATTCTGATGGGATTTAATACATTAGTGCTAGTATGATCCCACCCTTTTCGTATTATACTTTAAAGTTTGAACTATTAGTTTGAATTTTATATTATTCTAATTATTAACTTTTGTTAATTTTTTCATGTCGAATCAGGGTAAGAAAATAGCACATCTTTTAATATTATGGAATTTTATTTTTGTTGTGTTGAGATGTGAAAAATTGGACAAACTTTAATATTTTAGTTGTAAAACTCAAACTAATAGTTTAAGCCTTTAGGGACTGTTTGGTAAGGGGCGTATCGGGACTTGACAATATGAGGTTGAGAAAAATAGTCAAAAAGACCATCAAACCCTATGTTTGGATTACAATCCAATCTTGTATTCCCAAACTCAGCCCGTAACTAGCCCAAATGTTATCATGGGTTTCGTCAAACCTAGGAAGATTTGAGAAGATGGGTTAAGCGTGTAAGAATGTAAAAGATAATTATACTCTAAGAGTTTGAATTGAATTGATTAAGGGGCAAAATAGTTATTTTAAAAAAAATAATTGTTATTAATTATGATATACTCATAGGTCTTATATGTCATACCAAGTATGGATATAAACTGGATTTAATGTTGAATCTTATCATTGTAAAGAGGGGTTTGACTTTGAAAGAATTTGAAGAAGCCAATCTAAAACTCTTTCCAAAAATTCTTCCAAACAAGCCCCAAAGGTCTAATGTGAGAGAGTTTATAATTTAGCAAACAATATGAAATGATAGGCAAAATTTAAGGGGTCTAAATATATTTTGCGCTAAACATATTCACAAACCTCACTCTTCCCCCGCGACAGTCGGTGCTTCTTCTGCACATCGTCCCCTTCCACAAACTCTCTCTCTTTCTCTCACACGGACACACCCCCAGAGTTCCAGTCAATACCACCTTTCCATGGCACCCCTTCTCTAGCTAAGGCTTTGTATTTCTGCTCTCTCTTTCTCTCTCTCTCTCGAACTCCTAAACCTTAACTCTTGAGAGAGAGGCAGAGAGATTTTTCACACGCAGATGGGTCAAGAAAATTTTACACCTCAGAAAAGAACCAGCTTTCTTCCGACAACAGCCACCGCCAACGGCGTCGTCCGAGGCCGCACATTGATCCCACGGGGCCGCCAGATCCACAAGACCTTCAACAACATAAAGATTACGATCCTCTGCGGGTTCGTCACAATACTCGTTCTCCGAGGCACCATCGGCCTCGGCAACCTCATCTCCTCCGACGCCGAAGTTGAGAACCAAAACCTCATCGAAGAAACCAATCGAATCCTCGACGAGATCCGATCTGACAAAGACCCAAATGATCCAGATGACTCCTCAGAACCCGAATACATGAGCCTTAACGCCACTTACACTCTGGGACCCAAGATCACCAATTGGGACGAAGAAAGAAAGCTTTGGCTCAATCGAAACCCCGAGTTCCCAAACTTTATCAATTTTAAGCCTCGAATCTTGCTTGTTACTGGGTCATCACCAGGCCCTTGTGATAACCCTATTGGGGATCACTATCTATTGAAGTCTATCAAGAATAAAATTGATTATTGTAGGTTACATGGGATTGAAATTGTGTATAATATGGCTCATTTGGATAAAGAGCTAGCTGGGTATTGGGCGAAATTGCCATTGATTAGGAGGTTGATGCTGTCTCATCCAGAAGTGGAGTGGATCTGGTGGATGGATAGTGACGCTTTGTTTACTGATATGATGTTTGAAATTCCGGTTGCAAAGTATGATGGCTATAATATGGTTATTCATGGGTACCCTGATTTGTTGTTCAATCAGAAGTCGTGGGTTTCCGTGAATACTGGGAGTTTTTTATTTAGGAATTGTCAGTGGTCTTTAGATTTGCTTGACGTTTGGGCTCCAATGGGGCCGAAGGGGCCGATAAGGGATGAGGCTGGGAAGATTTTGACGGCCAATTTGAAGGGTAGGCCAGCATTTGAGGCGGATGATCAGTCTGCATTGATATATTTGTTGATTTCCAAGAATGAATGGATGAAGAAGGTGTTTCTTGAGAATTCTTATTATTTACATGGCTATTGGGCGGGATTAGTGGACCGTTATGAAGAGATGATTGAGAAGTACCATCCCGGATTAGGGGATGAGAGGTGGCCGTTTGTGACCCATTTTGTGGGTTGCAAGCCTTGTGGGAGCTATGGGGATTACCCAGTTGAAAGGTGCTTGAAGAGTATGGAGAGGGCCTTCAATTTTGCAGATAATCAGGTGCTTAAGCTATACGGGTTCAGGCATAGAGGCTTGTTGAGCCCTAATATCAAGAGGATCAGGAATGACACTGTTAATCCTTTGGAGAATGTAGATCTGTTTGATATACGACATTCAGTGCATGGGAGCAATGGATCATAGGGCTAGCCAGTAAATCATCTTCAGTGGGTGCAAACCTGTAGGTAATCAAATTTTGAGGTTAAGATTCCTTTTGTGAGTTTCAAAGAGTTCAAGATTTGTTAGTATTGCTTGTTCTATCGGTTTTCTTCTGATTTTTTTGTTGGCTTGCAATTGCTTTTTGCACTGTTTGACTAATCCAAGCTCAATATCTTTTTACCAATTTTGTTTTATGATTTTTTCCTTTGCATTCTGTTCTTTGTCTGGCTAGCGTCCATCTTTTATCATATATCTTTATTTTCTCAGCAGATATTTCAGAATCTTTTGTACAGGTGGAAGTTTATAATCTTGTTCCTCCACATTGAAATCCAAATACGATATGCCAATTTCACTGATAAATCTAATTTACCACTTCACTTGTAGTTGATGAATTTCTAGTTTATATAGATATGGAGATTTGGTTTGGCAAACTTCTCAGGCTTTCTGTGGTCTCAGTTTATACCCTGATTTTTCAAGGAAGGAATGCTCCCACCTTAGCATGTTGTTGCCTAGTTATGTGAGGATAATGTAGCTAAGCAGCACATGTTTCATATTGGCGACTGTAAGGAATCACATTAATTGATCATAACCTAAATCTCGAAATATAAGACGTGTAGACTAGTGGGAAAAAGGAAATAGAAAGAAGAACAAGAGGGAGAGGAACTTGTGGAAATATCGCCTCGCCTAGCATGTTGGTAGGCCATCATTTTTTGCTAGATTGATGTACTAATAATTTGTTAAAGAGGAGCTTTCATTGTCATCATTTTCTCTCTCTCCCTCTCCCTCTCTCTAGACGTCACCAACTAATTTTAGTAATTGTTCTACCTAAATGTAAAATTAGGTAAAGGAGTCTGACTATCCACTACTATCATTTTCCAAAAGAAATGTTAGTCTTTTCATGTGTAAAGAGGATTACATCCTATCTACATTTTACAGTTCTCTAAAAACAAATTTGGTAGGTCCTTCCCCTCTCTTTGTAAATGAGGTTAGACATACAACTCCAAACTGTATGTCATTAAGCAAAATCAAAACATTTATTTGTATCTTCAATCAATAACCAACACAATAAAATGTATAACATTTTGCTTGTATATTTGCCTCCGTGTACTTGTAAAGATCTATCGGACTTATTTCTAAGGAATTGTAAAATCGCTGAAATTCGTTTATCAAACGTACTAAGAACATGTACTGGAAAGCTGCGTATTCTCATTGAAAGGGCTAATAGACTTGTGAAATCAAACTTTAAATGTACCTAAAAAACAGTTATTAGGAGACTAAACTGAGCAGGAAGGAAGTGCCAAAGGTGAAGGGAAGAAAGGGAGGGAGTGACAATGTGGAAGCTCCTTCTTGCACAAGTTATTTTAGATGTCAGTCTTGCCTGCATAAAAGGACGGTTAGGTGATCGGTTGTGTATCTTATTTTCCACGAGCCTCTTCCTCTTCTTTGAATTTTGTCGTTTACTTTCTTTCTGTATTAATCTCTTCATTTGTTATTTTATGATTTTGGGCATGGTTAGTCTTTTGATTCTTGGCAGTTGTCAATAGCTCAGTCTAGTGGTCTGTCATCCGGGCTGGACCAAATTTATTAGCGATTTTAATATATTGGTCCAATGTTGGCCCCTCTTGTTTCTATATTCTCTTTGAGGAATAATTCTATCTACCCTCATCCCATATTCTTATCCCCCAGAGATCAGGTTGAAAGCCAAAACTATGCCCCTCTACCAAGGAAACCACCGGAGACATAACTCAAGTTAGACATCTGATGGTACAGGACAAAACAGTGCTATAAATTGATAGGCAAATCAGTATGAAAAGTGATGTCATTTTATTGAAATATATCGTGTTGTGACCGTCCTCTCACTTGTTAAAATAAAAAAGGAAAATGTTACATAACAGTCCTATCAGACTATTTATGCATTCTTCTTGTACTGGGTTGCTTGCTTAGGTTCTGGCATATATTTGTAAGCTGAAACATCAGAACATGGTGATTTTAGTGGTTTAACTTTCCATAACCTGAAGCCCTCTCCGCAACACAGACACCCAAGTCAACTCCACAAAAAGCCATAAGAGAGAAAGGGAGATCGAGTGGACCCATTTCTTTAACCATATTAATTTTGCTTTGACACATTATCATGTAAGCAAAGTATGGTGAATTTGATTGGCATGCTTTTAATTGTTTGATTCACCAAGTTTAATTCCAAGAGCTTATTTAGCTGATTTGGATGGATTTTGCAGTGTATCTTGTTTGTTTCCACGAGAGAAGTAGGGGAGGAATCTCTTCAGTAAGTTCTTCAGAATGTTAAGGGTGAAACTTATGGTTCAAGGTGCTATAGGGACGACTTCTTGCAGACGCTTTTTGGTAGAAGCTAGAAGCATGGGGATGGATGTTGTTGTTTGTTTTCCTCTTCATCATTCCATAGGAAAGTTTTCTTAGCTTTACATCTTTTTAGTTGCATTCTCACCTCAGGGCAAAGTGACAAAAGAATCAGATGTACCGAAAAGAAGATGGAGGGGGAAGAAAGTAATGGGATCTTATTCAATTATAGAAGAATGGCCGAACAGCACCAAGCAAATATTGCTGATAGTCTTAACATTTCCAAACTTCCAAATGTAAGCACACTTGTATGATTGCATTATGTTCAATGTTTCGTTATTCTTTGTTAAGCTATATAAGAATTCCTGTCACCATTTTAAATTTGCTAGTTATCAAGTGTTTACGCTCGTTCAAATATTTTATAATGTCATTATGTTGATTATTCAGATAAGGTAGCATAGCATCATCGGTTGGCAAATTTTATGCTATTTTGACAGTAAATATATCGGTACGTTGTGTCTGGATATGCCAAGGGAAAATTGAGACGACTCATAATGTTACGTATAATTTTGTGCACAAAGATATCAGGAAAATTTGGGTCTTCCAAGAAAATAGAAGTTGTGGAGAAATGGAAGGGCTATCTGATTTGGCATCAGATACTAGGGTTATGGTTTTCGATATTGTACCTCTGTTTTTCAACCAATGAAAATTTGTCGCGTATACAATTTACTTATTTTATATTTTTTCACTTAATGGTTGTAAAGTATCCGATTCAAAATCAATGACCAAAATTTATGGAGGCACGATATTGAAGTTGGCAACGCAGTCTTACCCTCCTTTGATAGTTTAAATACTTGTATACCCTTTGAAAACAGGTTTGTTTATGGTATTTTTTTTTTTTCCTTTTTCCCTCTCAATCTGAGATCATTTTTTATGTGAAAGGGAGATCATACAACCAATAAGAGAGAAGAGAGATGACATAGAAACTTATACGTACCGTCCGAGAATCCCATAAAATACTGGTTTCGAAAGACGCTTTCTATGTTTGTAATGGTTTGTGGTGAAAGAGTGAAAGACAGTGGAAGAGTTGATCATATCAAATGCAAACATTCTGTCTTTGAACCATTTGAGAACCCGAGAAAGGAAATATGACACGACTTGTAATGCGATACGAACATGATATGAAATTAAAAGATTTGAGTCTTTTTTAAGCCACCAATTTCGTAAATGAGTGAACTTGACTCAACAAGATTAATAAATGAATCGGATACGAGTGAAGTCAATAAAAAAAAATACACGACACGACTTATATATATACTAGTTACACACGATTCATACACGACACGACTCCGATATGACATAATTTGTTAGACAATAATTAATAAATAAATTAAATATGAATAAAATATTTTTTAACATGAATTCACTCAAGCTCGAGATGAAGTCACTTCACTCGATCCTATTAACAAAGCATAGAGTAAGGACTCCACTTGCAGTAAGGTTCATTTAAGACTGAAAAGCAGCATCGGTATTTACCTTTACCCAATCCTCTTCTGGGGCAACTCACTTTGAAGCCACAACTTACTTGGCATCTATTCCTTCTGTCCCTGACACCCTGTATCTGAGGAGAGAAAGAGAGGAATTACTAACTAGCCTTTTGAGGGCCATTTATTGTTCCCAATGGATGAATAGCCATGCTTTCAAAGTAATATTGCATTTCATTTGGAGAAATATTGAACTGACACCCAAACCAGAGTTCCTAATTTTATAACAGTAAGATTACGCTTAGTTACTAATATTGCTTTGGTTCTCCTAGACTAGGGGTCCGTTTTTGTGTATGATTTGTGACATGGGAAGAGGGAAGACACTCTTGGGTGCGGAGATATGAAGGTGTAAAAATAAGTTTGGGTTGTACATAATAAAATTACGATCGTGTCAAAATTTGAATGAACTTAAAATTTGAACACTGTTAATCTTTTTTATTCGAACTGACCTGAGTGATATGTCTTGCATAAAATAAACAGCATCATCAGACTCAAGACTCACTGGTAATAGTTGGCTGAACTCGGCATAATTAAAGAAAAAAAAAGGGCTAATGCGACATTGCTATCCTCCAAGAAGATGCCATCTGCTTTAGAGATAATTGACAGCAGTATTCCTTTTTTCGGTACTCGTCTGCGTGTCCAATAATATTGGGACCCACGTGGCATTGTCCGTACGTACGATAAGCAAGTGGTTTTGGGTTTAGTATCATTTCTTCTATCCTATGTCTCATTTTCGGAGTGGGAATCCTGTGATATCGATTTGAGAAATTATAATTTTGTAAGATTAAATTATAAGTTATAACTTTTAAAATATGATCAATTATAAAATATTGGAATTGATATCAAAATTTTCATGATTGCTTATAGAATTTGTGATCGATTATGATTTTTCCTTGAATAGTTTTAATTTCTCATTTCAAAATTATAATTCTACCATAAAAAGTATTGGTTTTGTATATTGGATAATTCAAAGATATAAAAAATAATAAAAATAAGATATAAAAATATAACATGATTCGATACAATATACCCTCTTAATACACCATATTTATATTCACGGACCAATTACTTACATCGATGTATTATTCATTAAAAAATTGATTATCTAATAATTGATTACATAATACTCAATCCTATTTATAGAGATAAAATATTACAACCTAATACAATTTAGATACTATTAAATCTCTATATTTTCTATTAAGTCACTAATAAACTTATCCATAATTTATTAAGACTCTTTCAATACATTTTCTATTTCATTTGGTATTCTCATGACTACAAAAGCAAACTTGTTTATGATAATTAAAGAGTTTGGATCAACTTTCAACGAGGAGTAACTAGTTGTACATGCACCGCATTTTTTCTTCAAAGTTGTCTATTGTATGGGAAAAAAATGGTATATCTATTTATCACATTTTTAGATATTTAGCTTATTGTTGTGCGTAATTTTATCACCGTTGTGGTACCGAAAAAAATGATAAAAATAGTTATCACAATAGTGATAAAAAAACCCAAAATAATTACAAAAATACTTACAAAATATGGTAAATCACTCACGAAAGTGATAATTTTTTTATATCGAAAAAAAGTGATAAAAATAATTATCACAACATTGGTAAAAATACTTATAATAGTAGTAAAAATACACACAAAAATAATAAATCACACATAAAAATTATAAATATTTTAATTATATAATTACCCAAAAAATTATAAAAATAAGTAGTAAATTTTGAAAGTAAGGTAGATAATTTTTTTATGGTTCCATAGTAAAGCCCTCTTCTTCTCAGCCTACGCAATTCACCGAATAATTAAAGATGTTGGCTTGATGGCAATTGCCTGGACTGAGAAGAAAGATGTTGAACAATGGTGAAAGATAGATAGACGTTGCTTGCTAAGCTTTAAGGTTAGTCAGTGTACACTACAGAAAGATCTTGCTAATTCAGTTCATTGTTCGTCCAATTTGTCTCCACCTGTAGGGACCGCTCTAGCGAAGGCATGGCTTTGTTGGAGATTATTGATTTCGTTATCAAAATTGGGGAGCTGTTGTGGGTTCCAGTTAAGCATGAAGTCGGTTATTTGGTTAAAAAAAGAAAGAACATTTGAGTCTCTTAATGATATGTCGAAAACCTTAGGATTCTTAGAGATGACAAAAAAGTGTTGGTCGATGAAGCCAAAATCAATGGAGAAGAAATCAAAGGTTAGGTTCAAAAATGGCTGAAAAGTTGTGATGAGATGATGATGAATGTAGAAAGACTGAACGAGGAAGCCAAGGTTGAAAAGAAGTGCTTTAGTGGGTGGTGTCCTGATCTAATATCACGTTACAAGGTGAGCAAGCAAGCACTGAATAATACAGAAACTATTGGTAAGCTCGAGGGTGCAGGAAGAAGTTTCAATGTGGTTTCTCTCGGTGTAAGACGACCAATACAAATTGAATCTACGCAGTCCAGTGGAGATTTCAATCTATTTGAAGCAACAAAGCGGGCGATGAATGAAGTCATGGAAGCATTGAAAGCTAACAAAGTCCAGATAGTGGGGGTTTATGGGAGGTGTGGGGAAAACCCCCCTGGTGAAACAAGTGGGTGTTAAAGCCCATCAGGATGGGCTATTTGATCTTGCAATAATGGTTGTGGTGTCCCAATACCCGAATTTAAGAAGAATACAGGACGAACTTGTAGATAAGTTGGCCTTAATACTTGATGCAGAGAGTGAATCTGCAAGAGCAGGTATGTTGAAGGAGAGGATAATGAGAGGAAGTAAAATCTTGATAATCCTGGATGACATTTGGAAGAGGATAGAGTTATCTGACATAGGAATTCCAACTGGCAGGGAACTTGAGGCTTGCAAATCCAAAGTCTTACTCTTTACAAGACTTGAAAATGTTTGCTTTTCAATGGAAAGCCAAGCAAAGATCCCTCTAAACGTTCTATCGGATGAGGATTCGTGGATCTTGTTTTGAAGTAAAGCAGGAGTGGTTGTTGACTCCCCTGATTTCCAAGTTGTAGCGAGGAAGGTCAGTAAAGAATATGGAGGACTACCAATTGCACTTGTAGCGGTGGCAAGGGCTCTGGGGGACAAAGACCTGGGAGATTTAGATGTATAAAGTTCAGCTACGANACCAATTGCACTTGTAACGGTGACAAGGGCTCTGGGGGACAAAGACCTGGGAGATTTAGATGTATAAAGTTCAGCTACGATTATGTAAGAGATGAAGATGCCAAGTCATACTTATTGATTTGTTGCCTTTTTGCAGAAGATTCTAACATTAGCATGGAAGATTTGGTGAAGTATGGGATAGGCCGAGGGTTGTTTCAAGATGCCAACACAATGGAAAAAAAAAGAGCCAGAGCACGATCGGTGGCAAAGTACCTCAAAGCTTCCAGTTTATTGTTAGAAAGCGATCAACTGGGATGGGTAAAGATGCATGATGTTGTCCAGGATGTGGGCTTACGAATTGCAGCATCCAAGGATGGGCAAGCTATTATGGTCGAGGCTGGTATGCGTTTANCGGTGGCAAAGTACCTCAAAGCTTCCAGTTTATTGTTAGAAAGCGATCAACGAGGATGGGTAAAGATGCATGATGTTGTCCAGGATGTGGGCTTACGAATTGCAGCATCCAAGGATGGGCAAGCTATTATGGTCGAGGCTGGTATGCGTTTAAAGGAGTGGCCAAGGAAGGATACCTATGAAGATTACACAGCAATCTCGCTAATGTCAAATGAAATAGTGGAGCTACCTGATGGGCTAGTATGCCCAAAACTCCAATTGCTGTTACTGCAAAATAATACTGACATGCACGAGAACTTCTTTAAGGAGTTGAAATCACTCAAGACTGTTGGACTTCAGTGGTGTTGATATGACATCTCTGCCAGTGTCACTTGGACTCCTAACTAACCTTCGGACACTATGTCTAGATCGTTGTCAGTCAATAACT